TTTATCAAAACATGTCCACCCATAAACATGTACCCAAGTGTTGGGATTTCAGGCATATGCCACCATACTTGGTTATAATTTTTGCTTTCTATATCAGTAAAAAAGATGATTTAGAGGGGGGTATGGTGACACGCCCGTAATCCTAGGACTTCAGAGGCTTGGCAGGAGGATCACCTGGAGTCCCGGGCCAGCCTGGGCTACACAACAAGACCCTGTCTCAAAAAAAAGGATAATTTAGGCTGGAGCTATGTCTCAGTGGTAAAGCACTTCTCTCTAGGATGAGCAAGGCCCTGGGTTCAGTCCCCAGTACTAAAAAAAAAAAAAAAAAAAAAAAAAAAATTTGTTTCTAATATTTAAGTTTATATCTGAAACTCCTTGAAAGGTTGCTATTGCCAGGCATGGTGGTGAATGCATGCCCATCATCCCAGGCTGAGGCCGAAGGACCACCGAGAGTTTGAGGCCAGCCTGGATGGACTATTACAGATCAAGGATAAATACATTTAGAAATATAAGACCCCCTCCTGCTCTGAATAAAGGAAACGGAGAGACCAGAGTTTTGCGGAAAGTCCTTTCTTTGCTCTCCCTAACAGTCCTCCTGTGTCAATAATAGTGTTTAAAATTCTAGCTACCACTCTACCACCCCCAAAATTTAGTATACTCTCTTTCTATCAATAAGTCTCATGTTCTTTAAGAGTGTGAAGTAGCTGTAGCTGACAAAAGTGCATGTTCCCTGGGGTGGGGATTTAGCTCAGTGGCTCTGACCCTGGCACAAGATCCCGAGTACAAAAAAAAAAGTGCATGTTCCCTTAACCGAATTTAATTCTAGTCAATTCACTCCATCAGGGATAAACACATGCACGTCACCTCTACACTGGCTCAGGATTCAAAATGGACATAATCAAAGTCTTAAGATAATCTGTATATTATGTAATGGTCTTTTTAATGATTAACTTCGTTTACTCAAAAAGAACCAATCTAGTCTCTTTTAGTACCAGAAAGGTCACAGCGCTTAGACTGACCATTAATTACTGCATAACTCTATAATCTACATAATTCTTCAGATAGTGAAAATTAGCTGATTTCTAAAATTTTAAATAAAACCAGGGAAATAGTCAATAAACCCGTTATGTGTTTTACTTACTGCTGGCTGTACTTCCTCCAGTCTGATTATCTGAAGAATTCAGGTCTAGGCCAGCAAACTAGGGAAGAAAGAAATGGTTGGTTAGCAGCCCTCGTGCTGAATTACACCAGAGTCCTGCAATCTAGCATTTACTAGCATCCCATTCACACTCAAATACAGTAGCTGCCCTGTGGTACTTCATAGGGCTGATAAAACTCAGAATATGACTAAGACTGCTTCGAAGACTGTTAAAACTCTCAAGCAAATGCAAAATAGTATCACTGTAGATACTGCAGGTGGCAGCACAGGAAGATGATGCTGGTGCCACCCAATAGAAACTGGATCCAAATTTCATTCATTCACTGAAAATGAATTATTTCCTGTAACATTCTCCATAGTAAAAGCTCCCCAATCATTTGCCAACCTAAAACTCAGTTATGCTGAATCTCTGGAGACAGGGCCTCGCTGTGTAGTTTGGGCTAGCCTGGAACTCCCAGGGATCGTCTCACCTCAGCTGAGATTAAAGGCACTTACCCCCACCATCATGCCAGGCTGAATCTAAATTTTTAAATGTTCAACAGATAAAGGATTCACTTTAGTGCCAATCATATTTGACATATATTTCTAAATGCCACCAACTTCGTACTCAGTATTACTTTAAACCTAAAAGCATACCCCCAAAAAAAATGTTAGGACAAATTTTGAATTGACTACTCTTTAATTGCTTTATTCCCAAATACAGCACAAGTATTTAATATCCCCAACACTTAAGTGAGTACTATGTTGGGCTCAACTGTGAAGTAGTTACCTATCTCCCATTTTAGGTAGGAGGCAAGTTGAAACACCACCAGTCATAAGTGACCTTCAATGCTCTGAAGAGGCATTTTATTACCTTTAATCTTCATTTGTACCCAGCCCTACACTGGAAGTTCAAAACCTTCATGCTCTAGAAAAAGGTCACCCACTGTGTTCAGGACTGACCAGGAGCTACTTATAAGCAGTATACATGCAAAAAGAAACATTTTTTTCTCCAGAAAAGCCACAGGTACTGTTTGCCACGCGTCTGTAAGATGTTATACTGTATTTATAAATCCTGTTTAAAGATCAATGATACTGTCGGGCTGCAAATATCAGTGGAGTCACAAAATGAGAAGCAGATGCTATACAGTACATATATCAAATTAATGGAGAAGAGGCTAAGACTGGGCCTCATTCTCTAATTTTCTATTAGCAAAAATGCTGCCATCCATTCTGCAGTTAAATCGATACTTTAGCGCACAACAGGAACACAAGTTGTTTTTAACTTTTATGTTATGGCAACATGAACTAAGAAGGAACTGCAACCGCTTCTATAAACAGGAATATATTGTTAAAATTTTAACAAGTCAATCTAGTTACTGCAAATTCCCATCTAAACTTCTAAAGATCCTAAACGCACCTTTTTTTACTTAAATCAGTTACAAACTTCAGCTTTATTTCTTAGGATCTTAGACACAACTTATATGGAAAATTTTATAACTGTGCTCAGCCTGTGCAGTTGATACCAGATACTGTCTATGCTTCATTAGCATACAAAGTGTCGATAATATGGAGAACTTCGTGTTAACTGGTTTATGTGGGGAGGCTCACAAAAGAACAGACCATTAAAATCGCCCTCCTCTCAGATCACACCCTCCTCTCCTGTTGAAACCCTTAGGAAGGATTCTGGTTCAGACTACAGACCAGGGACTCTGATGTATCACAAAATTTTTTTACTCCACAAGCAACAAGTCAACCAGAGAACTGCTTACTTCTCCGTAAGCCACATGCTGGGAATATTGCTGGCGGCGGATCCCTAGATCTAGATCTAACGTCACAAATATAAAGGTATTCATACAACGCACAATAGCTCCCCCAAAGAAAAAAAAGCGCAGTTCTCGGCGAAATCACCAGTGACTAAGGCAGAGGAAAAAGCCGAGCTGGGTCCCTAGACCCCAATGTCTTCCCGCAGCGTTCAAACTCAGTAGAGCCCAGCGCCACGGCGCACGCAGCGGCCCTTTACTCCCTCCCCTCCCCCTCCCCTCCCTGAATTTTCTGCGTCACAAAACTTTCCACTCCGGAAACGCGGTGAGAGGCCGCTGCGCGGGGCCTGCAACGATCCTGCGGAAACTGAGCAGAAGCAAAAAAGCCTGCGGAAGGAAGTGCCGGAGAACAAGATATACACTCCATCCCCTTTTCCAGGGCCTCGTCGGCCTCTCCCAGAAGTGGGCCACAGCGCCGCCCAGCCACCCAGTACCACACAAAGGAGGCTGCCGCCATTACCCAGAACGAAGCCCCCCCCCACATTCCAGGGCTGCGTTCCTCCGGGACTCGCGAACGGACTAACTCCGAACGCCGCCCGGTCTCCCCGGCAGAATCTGGACCGCACCGAAGCCCCCGAGGCAAAAAAACCTCACTGCATTGGCTGCGCACTCCCTCCTACTACCCTCCCCCCGGGGGGAGTCAAACAGTCGGGGTTCGCGCGTGCGCGTCGCCGCGAGAGCGCGCACCCCTCCCCCTCCCGCGCACGCACACACAAAAGCCGCCATTGTGTTCTGCCCGGGGACAATATCGCGGGCCGAGCCGAGCCCGAGCGAAACCAAAGCTAGCACTCCCGCCACCTCCCCGTCCCTCTGTGGCCGCGGGGCACTGACATTCTCAGGCTTCAAGCAGCAAAGAAATGGAAACCAGAGAGTGCCTGCCAGCGGTACGCCATAAACCAGGTTTAGGTCAGGGGAGTCATGCAGCGGCCACCTAGGTCCACTCCTTGTGGCTCACCTGCTGGTCCAGCCCGAGCGCATTTTCCACCGCCACATGACTCATCCCTGAAGAATACCGAGAACTCGGAACCGTCTACTGCTGAGCGAATACGCCTGCTTCACCGCAACAACCCTCTCACGGGAGAATGCGGCTCTGGAGCGCTCGGCGCGGCCGCCGAGCTAATATACCCACTCGCAAGGCTGCTACGTCAGCACGTAAGGCGCGCGCCCTCCCTCTCACAGCCGCACTCCCCCACCGCTGAGACTTCTGCCCGGCTACTGCGCGCGCCGGCTTCTAACCTCGCGGGATTTCCTAGTCAGTCCCGTCGACCCCTGATCGTCCAACCTGAAAATCCCGAGAGTCAAAAGATGTCCTATTTTGAGTTTCACTTTACTTTTTCTCACCAATATCCCACCCAGTCTTGCGGTCTCGAGATCTCGCGAGAACTCGTCTCCTGGGGCCTCCAGCAACGAGGCCTTAAAAAATGCAACCTAGGCCTCTTTCGCCTTTTTCCCTCTATGCACCTTGTTTTAGGTGTTCCTTTCTCGTGCCCTTCCTACCCTCTCAGTCCCTGGCGTGCAGATATGGTGGGATTTCTCTGTCTAAACAGCCTTCCTTGTGACTGCAGCCTTTCTAAAATCAGAGTTGGGCAAGAAAACCCTGAAACCGCGAGGGCGGCGGGTCACGTGACCGCAGGTGTCGCGCGCGGTGGCCATTTTGTGGAGCAGGAAACGGTGGTTTGAATTCGAGTGCTTGGAATGGGGGTGAGGGAAAGGGAAGAGGGAGACGGGCAGGGGGGAGGGGGGGAGCGATCGGGGAGAAGTAGAGGGGGCGGGACGATGACTGCGGGTGGTCGTGGCGAACTGTTCCCAGAGCGGTTGCCTAGGTAGCGGTGACGCCGCCTAGAAATTCACAGGCTCCGCCTGCCCCGCCCTCCGACGCCACCGCTCGTCCCCTCCCCCGCTGTGAGCAAACAATGAGCAATCACGCGCTGATCTAGATCAGCCGCTTTCCTTCGACCCTCCGACCCTCGCCCTTGATCCCTCCGCCGGCGGGCGGGTCTTCCTCAGTGCCTAGTTTCCCTCCGCGGGTTACCCAGCCGCTCAGGGCCGGTGGCCGCCTGCACTGCAGGGTCCCTGGATCTTGTGCCTGGACATAGATCTCGAGGTGTTTGTGGCGGGGCGCAGCCTGGACCTGCTGGAGGAGCTGTGACAGGCTTACTGGCCTGGGTTCGGGATGACGGGAATGGAAAGAAACGGGATTCTGTGGTCAGAGGGACCTCTTGTCGCCCTTTCCTAGGCTAGCCAAACCTAGTCCCAGCTTCAATACCAGGCCCTTAAATAGAAACAGAGTTGACTCGTGGCTCTGGGGATTTGAGCGCGTGGTCACACATACGGGTATGTGGTTCTTGTAAACTCTCCCCGCCTTTCTAACCGTCAGCCTGACAATACGCAGGATTTGGATTTTTCATTCCCTTCCAAAAAGGGCTTCTGCTGTCCGAATTCCAATAGCTCGTTCTCGTCACATAACTTACTACACCCAACATTTCTCTCCTCTTCCAGTTTTTTGTTTTGTTTTTGGTGGGGGGGGGTCGAACTCCTGACCTTGAGAGGCAGGCGCTGAACCACTAAGCTAAATCCCCGGCCCTCCTTTTCCAGTTTTTAAAATCGAAATTGAATTTCTAACAAGATTGGGGGATAGTGTAACACTTTGTCCCCTGGTAAGTTGCTTAACAGCTGTGGGTCTCAATTTCCTCATCTATAAAAGGAGTCAGCTATGGGTACTACATAACCCTCCCTTGTGAAAGACGCAGCTCCTTTGTACAGCAAGTCATTTTTAACACCCCCCCTTTAACAATAGTGAAATAATAAACCTGCAATTTACTATATAACCTAAACTTACACAGTTTCAAAAAGCGTGATTTAACTGATGTAAATATAAAGTGATCATAAAACAATGCAAATTTTTTAATTTGTAAATGCTCCTACACGATTACATTAACTAATGGTACCCACACAATACAGCCACAAATGCAAACTGGGGAGGCATGTTATTTTCACAACTCAAGTATCACAAAAAGCCTTGCCACTGATGACCTCGTTTTCCAAAATGGTGAGCTGTTAGTAACATTTGAAACAAAACAGTACCATCTTCCTTCAATTGATGCAATAATTGCATTCCTGAATGATACAGTTTATATGGAAGTGGGCCAAAAATACAGTGTTTTAGGGTTAGATGATGATGAGCTAGTTTTTCACCGAAATGAGTATCCAGTGAGTTGGTTCTTTGTTGTATAGGACTGCCCAGCATCGCAGAAAATTTACCATGGCTGGCATCTGCCGACATATACACAGATTTCCAGAGCCCTTTTGAGAACCAGGAGGCTTAAAGAATCATGAGGGTCCCTTCCTGCCGTGTGTGGGGAGCATTGATGAGGTATGTTCTTGGGCTTGCTTCAATTTCCTTTTCTCAGAAACCAGGGTAATATTAGTCGGCCCTGGTTCTGGGCTTTGTTTTACTTTTGAGTAAAGCCAGTATCCAAGGTACTGACTGCCATGAGAATATCCTTAAAAATTAAAATATGCAGCAGGCTCCTATTTTCAATTAACCCCTATTCATAGGCATACTTAGTTCAGACCACCAGGGTGTTTTGTTAATCAACATGTTATAATTGGACTATCAGGAGGTGAGGAAGCAGGGAAACAAAGTTTTGTCTTCAAACACATTCTTCTGAGAAAGAATGAAGGGCACATTTGAGGCCTCAAATTGTGCCAAATTTCACCGTGTTTCAAGTGACTTTTCCATTCGGCAATCACTTACATATCTTCTCCAGATGACAATCGTGCAGATTTTATGGGAAGCAATGTAAAAAGAGTTAGAAATTACTGAAACCAGGGAGTTTTTAATACTCACTTTCCTGCTTTCTTCAGCATTTTAAGTGCCTGTATAGTAGCAAATACACCATCTGCACTACAACCCCGCTCCCCACCCTGGAGGCTGCCTGGGGGACTCGCAGGGGAGCTGCTGTCCCGGAACTGTGTGCTCCCCTTGGACTGCTTGTGAGCAGCTAACTGGGGACCACTCCATACCCGCCTTGGAGCCAGCTGATTATGGACTGAAACCTCTACAAACTGAGCCAAATAAACCCCTTCCCTCTAACAAAACAAAACAAAACAAAACAAAAATGAGACCCAGGAGCAAGGAAGGAGAAAAGTGTGGCTCACATCCACCCAGGTTTTTTATTAAAACAAAAATGCACTTCCAGAACCTTCAAATGGGGCAAAAAGATGTGAAAGCAAATTTTTATAAAAATCAAGATGATGTATGTGATCTGTAAAAATTATTTGTGAGCCTCAAATCAACAACAGCAAAGTACTGTTAACAGGTCCAGAGCAAAAACGTTAAGACTGGTAAGGCATACAGGACCTGAAGGTGGGACTCATCACCACCACAAGTCTTAGAATGTCATTGGAGAAAACATATGCTAATAAGTGATGCATTTTTATTAAGATTCCCACAGTTTTCCCTGAAATCTGAATAGGAAGTGGCACTACTGTACACTTCTGCCAACAGTTCTTTGAGTCATACCAACTTTTGCTATCTAAAATCGTCAGGGGCTGAAAAAATAAATAACTGGGGGCCACTCATTTGACATCTCAGCACCTCAGTCCTCATCTATAGAGTTGTGCTGAAAGTGGTTGGGATTGAAGGGCTCATGCATGAAAGCGTTTTTGCAAGGCTAAGAACTTGTCTGGGTTGCTCTTTTTATGTGCACACAGCTCCCCAAGGTCGCAACTCCCCCAGCAGGATGGGTGGCTGCAGGCCCTGGGCTCCCGCAGCCCTCAGGGCTCAAACCTCCACTGTAGCGCAGTGTGACACTGCCATTGGAGAAGAAAGACCTCCACCCCTCCCTGTGCACAGATGCCCGATAGATGCTGGATGATTGGTGAATAGTGCTAGGGCCTGCCCTGAGCAAGTAAGTGGTAATGCGGGGCATGGTGAGGTATACAAATCCATTATTTGGCTTCCACAGATGGCCTTAACCACCAGTGGCCTCACCACTCCCTGAGACTGAACTAGACCAGTATCGCATTGCCACAGTACAAATAAATAACGAGCCCAAATAACCTGAAACCTAGCACGAAGATAATTTGACTCTTCTTTTTTGGTTGCCCCTCCCTACTAGAGATTGAACCCAGGACCTTCACACCAAGCAACATCCCCAGCCCACTTCTTTATTTTTATCTTTGATTTTGGTTTTTTGTTTTGGTTTGGTTTGGTTTGAGTTTTTTGGTACTAGGGATCTAACTCATAACCTTGCCCTTGTGAGGCAGGCACGGTGCCACTGAGCTAAACCCACGGCCCCGATTTTTTTTTTTTTTTTTTTTTTTTTTGAAACAGGGTCTCACTTTAACAGGGGCTGGCCTTGAATTCACTGTGTAGCCCAAGCCAGCTTGAAACTCTCAGAAATCCTCCTGCCTCAGTCTCCCCAATGCTGGGATTAGAGACATGCACCACCATACTGGCTTCTTTTTTATTTTGAAACAGTCTCACTAAGGCACTGAGTTGCCTAGGCTGGGCTCAAAGTCAGTCCTCTTGTCTAAGCCTCCCAGAGAGCTGGAGCCACCAGTCCCTGTTTGTTTGTTTGTTTGTTTGTTTTTGAGACAGGGTCTCTCACTCTGTGGTTCAGGCTGATCTTGAACTCACTATGTAGCCCAGGTGGCCTCAAACTCCCAGCAATCCTCCTGTGCCGTCACATCCAGCTCAGGCCCAGTTTAATTTGAGTATTCTGCAACTAGAAAATAAGAAGTAATAAAAGGCCAGGCATGGAGGCACACACCTGTAAACCCAGCACTTGGGAGGCTGAGGCAGGAGGGTTGCCATGAGTTCAAGGCCAGCCTAGACTATATAGTGAATTTCAAGGCCCTTCTGAAACACAAAGTAAGACCCTGACTCAAAAAAGAAAAAGAAAGGGCTGGAGATTTAGCTCAGTGGTTCCACTGCTTGCCTCGCAAGAGCAAGGACCCGAGTTTGATCCCCAGTACCAAAAAGAAAATGAAAGCAATAAACAGATTCTAAGAGGTAGACATGGTGGTGTAGCCCTTAATGAATTTCATAGTTGCCAGTCATTTTTCTCAAAATCCAAGGCAAAGAGCCACACTTCCCTTTAGCATGGATTGGGAATAATGTTCAAGGAGGGCAGAACTCTGTAATCAGAAGCATAATTATAGGTATAGAGGTAAAAGCAGTTCCTTACTGAGGTCCTTTTATGTTTTAAAATGTAACAGCCTTTTTGCTTTTTCTGTTTGTTTATTTGTTGCTTAAGATTAAATACATTACCTACCAATGCCAGGTAGTTTACAATATGGAATCAGGAGAGTGTTACTGTGCAGGCTGATAAAAGTTGAAAATGGGAAAAAGAGGTGTTGGACCCTAGTGTACTGCTATCCACCCTTCTCCGAGGCAGAGGGCTGGGAAGTGCAAAGTCAGGAGCATTTTAGGCAGTTCCTAGAACAGCAAGATATGGAATCTGCTTTCTTTCTCTAACAATGGCAAGAGCAAAGCAAAATTGCATTGAAGGCCATTGTCTCAGTCTCTAAAACCAAGAAAAAGATTTACAAACAGGACGATCCAGTGCACATCTGCCTTCCCCTCTTCCCTCATGCAAAGTACCTGGGAAGCACGGTGAATAACAATAGAGAAGTCTCTGCCCCTGTCCCTCAACTGCGGGAAACCGGGGGTTGCAGAGTGGTGCAAATAGCCCCAGGCTTTGTGTGTCCCCCCCCCACAAGCATGTGGCCTCTTAGGTAACAGAGCCATTTTTAGCAGTTTCAGGTGATGTAGAATTTGCAGCCTGGCGCTAACCTTGTGGATCAGCCTGAGTGTATCCATCAGTGCTGCGTTGAACCGGCTCACTCTCCCCTATACCTCGGCTCCTTGGCAATTAGTACTGTCATTGTCCTAGAGACCTTGCTGGCTACTAGACTGAATCACTTTGAAAATTTTTTTGTTGTTTTTCTTTTGTTTTTGCTGGGAGTGGTGGCCCACGCCTGTGATCCCAGCACTTGGGAGGCTGAGGCAGGAGGATCACTGGGAGGCCAGCCCCAGCTACATAGTGAGTTCAAATCAGCCTGAGCTACACAGTGAGACCCGGTCTCCAAAAAGAAAGAAAAGTTTTTTATTTTATTTTATTAATACATGTTTGTAGTGCATGAATTTTACAATCATCTTGGGGAGTTAGTATGTGTACGTGAAACAGCTCGTTCCTTTTTTTAAATCCCTTTCCCTCCCTTTTCCTCCCTCCTCCCCCTTTTTCATCCTCATTGCTATTGTTAATCTCAGTTCCTGTTTATGGCGTGTAACATTCACATTCATTGAGGTTATTAGGGACTTGGACCTGGCATATCTTCCCTCTACCTATTTCCCCATCCCCTCCCCTTCCTCCTCACCCTTGGTCCCCTGGACCCCTTCTTAGCTACAAAAGACCCATCCCCTCGTCTTGGGTCTATCCTTCCTTTGTTTTTCTCTTAGTTTGTACTTTGCCTTACTCAGATGAGAGGTACCATATGGTATTTAAGTTTGTGTGTCTGGTGTATTTCACTCTACATTTTCTTCGTGCATCCATTTTCCTACAAATTTGTGCTTTCTGTATCCGTTGTACATAGGTACCCCAATTTCTTTATTCAGTAATCTGTTGATGGGTATGCAGCCTGCTTCGAGGATTCAGCTATTGTGAATGTGGTGCTGTTAATGTCGGTATGCAGGTATCACTGTAGTGTGATGACTTAAACTCTTTGAGGAAGATACCTAGCAAGGGGATAGCGGGCGCATATGGAATTTCTAAATTCAGTTCTTTAAGAAATCTCCATACTGATTTCCACACTGTTTGTACTAATTTACATACATTCCCACCAACAACGGAGGAGGGTTCCTTTTTTTACCACAACCGGGCCAGTATTTGTTATTTTTGATTTCTTGATGATTGTCATTCTTTCTGCAGTAAGATGAATCTTAGCATTGTTTTACTTTGCATCTCTCTAGTGGCTGGAGATGCTGAGCATTGTTTCATATATTTGTTGGCCGTTTGTACTTCTTCCTCTGTGAAGTGTCTGTTCATTTCACTTGCTCATTTCTTGACTGGGTCTTTAATTTTAGGTCGCTGAGTACCTACCCACCCCTCCCCCTGAACCACGAATCGAACTCAGGACCTTGCACTTGCTAGGTGGGCACAAAGCCACTGAACTACATCCCGGCCCTTGAATATTTTTGAGTTGTTTATGCAGTCTAGACATTTTTCCTCTTTCTGAGGAGTACCTGGCAAAAATTTTTTCCCATTCTGTAGGTTGTATCTTGATTCTACTTAGTGATTCTTTTGTTGTACAGAAGCTTTTTACTGTGATATAATCCCACTTGTTAATTCTTGCTGCTATTTCTTG